GTTGGCCAATCCACTCATCTGAATTTTTTGCCAAATGCATTGGGCTGAATGGAAAAAATAAACTTTATTGATAACACCTTGAAATTCACTTTTAGGGGACTTGATTGTACCTAATTTCAAATCTGTCATTATGGTTTGGGGATTAAATTGAATCCATTTTCTTCTGCAAAGTTCACCAAGTTTTCAAATAAGTGTTTATAAAGTGCTTTACTTTTTTCAGTCATTAATACATATATGAGTGGATAAGTTCTAGAATTTTCCAATCCAATAGGGGTATGGATTGTATATAGTTGATTAAAAAACAGTGGGGAGAGTTTTGAAAATGCCATCCATTAGCCAAAGTGAAGCATGTGCTGGTTTTTCTGTATTAGATTTAGTGGCAAATATAAGTCTGTCTTCTTCAATAGTCAAATCCGTAATCAAGAGTAATTCACCATTTAATGTGTTTTGTAACACTGGAGGAACCTCAGTATCAGCAAGTGTCTTTGGTGTAGGTTGCTGAGCTTATCGAATTCTTTTTATTTTCTAATGAAGGATTTTCTTTGAAGACAAGCAGGGGCACCATGTGTGAAGACGCAGAAGTACGTAATTGAATAATTTGTCAAAGGAGATATGTTTATATTTTTTGCCTGCATTTTTACTTCTGTGATCTTTGAGGTACTCACTGCACTTGTATTTGGAGAGTTGTTGTGATCTACAAATTTTTTTTTTTTTTTTTTTTTTTTTGAGACAGAGTCTCGCTTTGTTGCCCAGGCTAGAGTGAGTGCCGTGGCGTCAGCCTAGCTCACAGCAACCTCAAACTACTGGGCTCAAGGTATCCTCCTGCCTCAGCCTCCCAAGTAGCTGGGACTACAGGCATGTGCCACCATGCCCGGCTAATTTTTTGTATATATTAGTTGGCCAATTAATTTCTTTCTATTTATAGTAGAGACGGGGTCTCGCTCTTGCTGAGGCTGGTTTCGAACTCCTGACCTCGAGCAATCCGCCCGCCTCGGCCTCCCAGAGAGCTAGGATTACAGGCGTGAGCCACCGCGCCCGGCCTACAAATTTTATAAGTATATGCTGTCCACTTGAAAGTCTGGTTATTGCTTGGCTGTTTTGCAATTAAGCAGTGTTCTCCTTTTGCAGCACCAATGATGATTAGCTTTTAAACTTTTATCTTTCACCATTATGTAGTCTCATGCACTTATCACAGTCTTTTCGTGAGGGAACAGTTTCACAGATGTCTTTCATTGTGTTGTAAGGAATATAGTAAGAGAGAATAAAATTCAGCTTCCCCAATGACAAATCTGTAAAGTTCTCCAGAGAGACAGAAGCAATAGGGGGAGTGTGTGTGTGTGTGTGTGTGTGTGTGTGTGTGTGTGTGTGTGTGCGTGCGTGCGCGCGCGCGCATGCATGTATATGAGAAGGGATACCCTCTCGTATATACACATGAGAAGTCCCACAAGCTAGAGACCTTGGAATCCTATCATCGTGGCCCAGTCCAGAGTGCAAAGGGCAGCAGGCCTGGAGTTCTAATGTCCAAGGTAAAAGAAGAGAAGTCTGTCCTAGCTTTCAGAGAAAGACCATTTCACCTTTAGTATTTTTTCTCTCTGGGTCTCCAGCCAATTGGATGGTATCTGCCAACATTGTGGGCAGATCATCCCCACCTATTCCACTCAGATTCACACACCTCTGGAAACACCCTCACAGACACATTCAAAATAATGGTTTACCAGTTTCTAGGTATACCTTAATCCAGTCAAGTTGACGCCTAAAATTAAGTCCACAAATCCACCACTTGTCAATTTGGCACCCATACACATCTCCTTAAACCATATTTAGTTTCCAAATAAACACAATAACAAGCTAATAGTTCCACCCCATGTGATGCAACTGTCCTGTGATTGTGATTTTGCGGATTTTAGACCTTTAGGATTTTGGTGTTTTAGGATTTCAACATTCAAAATTATGGCATTTGGGATTATATCTTTCAGGATTATGATCCAAACCCCTTCCATTTGCATGTCCTTGACCAGAACTGTGTCACAGGGCTATCTCTATTTCAGGGGAAACTGAGAAATAAGTTTTAGTGAGCACATTATTGCCCCAGCAAGTTGGGACTCTCTGTAAGGACTAAGAGAAAACAAACATTGGGTAGGCAAAATAACAGTCTCTGCTACGCTAATTAAATAGCTATATTAAGAAGTTTAGAACAAACACACAAACCAGTCTTTCTCTTTTATATGCATTTCTACTTTAACAAAAGTTGTATGAAAGATATATAAATAAGTCCCTAAATTGCTAGAGTATGAGGGAAGCATAGGATCATGTAGTCCTGTCATTTAAATATTAGACAAAATTAGTGACCTGTCTGAGGTGCCCCAGACAGCAGTTCCAGGCCTGGAACTTGAAGTTCCGACTCCCTGATTGGTCATTTGTTCTCTCCATTTTCTGTGCTGCTTTGTGAACTCTGATTGCTCATATGTTAACTCTCATACATACACAAGGCAGCTGTTTTGGTTATGCCATCAGAGAGAAAACCCTCTAATCCTTTGATCACAATAAAAGTGATGGGAGGAAATTTCATGTTTCTTATTTGAGAGTTTTATGTGTTCACTTTGTTAGTGTTGGTGGCACTGGCAGTATTTATATATTCATTCATTGTTTATTAATTTATTCTGCAATGGCTATATGCCAGAAATAGATTATAACATCTCAAGAGCAGGACCATGTCTTATTAATTTCTGTGTCCCCAAGTAGGTCCTCATGGATGAGTGAACAATTAAGTCATAGTCCTGCCCTCAGGTAATCCCCAGTCGGGTCCAGGAGACAGACAAAAAAGTCAATGATGATAGTACAGCAAAGGCACATTTCTCAAGAGGTGACAGAGGCATGGCTAAAGGGAACCTAAATAAATCTCTGAGGCAGGAAGACGGACTGGAAAGACTTCAACAGGAGGTGGCCTCAAGTTCAGTTTGTTTGGTTTTGTTCTTTTATTCTAGGCAAGCTATGAAAAGAGTACTTGTCATGCCAAATCTACTCCTTTGTTTCTTTCTTTCTCTTTTTGTCTCTCCCTCCCTCCCTTTTCTCTTTTTTCCTTTCTCTTTCTTTCTTTCTTTTCTTTCTTTCCTTTTCTTGTTGGAGGTCTTGCTAAGTTGCCCAAGCTGAATTCAAACTCCTGGGCTCAAGCACTCCTGTGCCCCAGCCTCCCCACCTCAGCCTCCTGGGATTACAGGCACACACCACTGTGCCTAGCTCCAAGTTTAGCTTTGAAGGGACTTGCAGGGGAGGAAAGAGAAGGGCTGCATGTCAAGCCAAAGAATTAGTTTTTAGAGGCCCAGTGGGATGAGAAACTGTGTTTAGAAAAGAGGGGACAAGAAGAGTAGGAAAAAGTCATGGTGTAGTTGGAAATGAGGCTTGAGAGGTGACTGTGGCCATCATTAAAGACCTCAATAATATGTTAAAGGACTTGGCCTGGGAGCATTGGCTCATGCCTGTAATCCTAGCACTCTGGGAGGCCGAGGCGGGCAGATAGCTCAAGGTCAGGAGTTCGTAACCAGCCTGAGCAAGAGCAAGACCCTGTCTCTACTAAAAATAGAAATGAATTGGACAACTAAATATATAGAAAAAATTAGCCAGGCATGGTGGTGCATGCCTGTAGTCCTAGCTACTTGGGAGGCTGAGGTAGAAAGATTGCTTGAGTCCAGGAGTTTGAGGTTGCTGTGAGCTAGGCTGATGCCATGGCACTCTAGGCTGGGCAACAGAGTGAGACTCTGTCTCAAATTATAATAATAATAATAATAAGTTAAAGGATTTGAACTTACCTAACCCTGCTGATGGGGTGGGGAGCAACAGAATAAGGGCAGGAAACAGACTCAGGTGTGTACTTTGGCATGACCACCTGGCATTGCATTTAGGCCTTGGTGCCTGAGTGGAGAGGTATTTCTTGTCACTATAGCTGCAAATGACCAGAGCAGACTAAACCACACACAAAGATCCTTGTGCCTCCCTGCCCAATTCTCCCAGGATATCCTTCCTCGCAGAGCGTTACTTAGCCTTTCCAGCTACTTGCAGACTCCACACACACCCCTTTCACTTTTCCTGTCCTTCTTGTCCTCATGTTTACGCAGCCAAGGACTCATAACAAGTAGTTCTTTTTGTCTCCTGCTCAGTAAGGAATAATTTACTCCTATTTGATAGTTAGTTGTTATGGGGTTTATGGGACCCTCAGATGGTAGAATGTATCAGACATGCCTTTTACCTCTACTTGTGGGATGAAAGGCAGTATTTCAGGAATTTCAGACAGCCAGGAGGTGGGAAGCTGCTGCCAAGGGTGGTGAGAGTGCTGATGCCTACCATCTTTGCCTCCGGTCTGTAGCCTACCCCTCCAACGAGTGTTCTCTCAATCTGTTCTCCTTCCCTGCTGGAGACTTTCTTTCCCACTTCCCAAATTTAGCTCCTCATTCTCTCCTTGGACTCCCAGTTGCATTGTTTTCTGATGATCAGCTGAGAATTGACTTCCCTATTCTGACATCCATCCTAGAATGGATGCAAGCCTCCTCTGTTGTTTTTGCCTTACTAGATGTTTCTGATGACTAAGGGTGACATTGGAAGTGCATTCTCTTGGTTAATACAAGTAATATACACATTTTATCATTAAGGGGCTGACTGAATATTTCTCTGTGTGACTTGGAAGTAAAATGTCCTATGAAAATCTCCCCTCTTTTTTATTGCTTAATTGTTTCTTTTTTGCTTTCCCTCTTTTTTTCTTATGCAGGAATTATTATAACAGTAAAGGAAACTAACACAATTTTTCTCCAAATCCCACAACCATAAGTTATCAGCTGTTTTTACTTTTCCCTGTATTCTCTTCTAGTCCCTGCTTGTATGCAGTGATGTTAACTAGATTTGGTTTTTACTGTGTTTATTTTTTATGCCAAATGATTGTAGTTGAAAGAAATGAGATATGGGAATGTCTTGGGTAATAATGCCTTCTTATTTTGATTATTTCCTTTTAGGAAAGACACTGCTGATCCTAGAACATGGAGGATTGTCTTCATACCTCATCTGAGAATCTGTCCAAGTTGGTCAGCTGGGCCCACAGCCATGGGACCATTTGCAGCCTCATTCCAAACCTGAAACACTTGCTTTCAGAAGGTTCCCATGGGAACCTGACAGCAATGTGGGGCTGTAGTGCTGGCCATGCTTATCACTGGCCACTCACAGCTACTTGCAGAGCTGGGTCCCAAGAGAGAGTCTGTTTCCAGGATAACAGAAGTTTCAACTCCGATAGTCCCAGTATAATCGGGGTGCCTTCTGAGACACAGACTAGCCCTGTTGAAAGGTACCCTGGGAGACCAGTGAAAGCAAAGCTAGACTGTAACCGGACCAGAGACTCTTGCGATTTCTCCTATTGCAGTGAGCCCTCTGAACTGGATGAAGCTGTTGAAGAATATGAAGATGAGAACACCCTGTTTGACATGGTTTGTGAGTCTTCTGTTACAGATGAGGATAGTGACTTTGAACCCCAAAACCAAAGGCCTCAAAGCATTAGTCGCAAAAGGCCTGGAATAGTCCCGTCTTCCCTCCATTCAAGCTCCCAGGTACAGATGGTAGATGAATGCAGCAATGATGTCATTATCAAGAAAATCAAACAAGAGATTCCTGAAGATTATTACATTGTGGCAAATGCTGAGCTTACAGGAGGGGTTGATGGACCAGCCCTGTCATTGACGCAGATGGCAAAACCCAAGCCTCAGACTCATGCTGGTCCCTCCTGTGTAGGGTCTGCTAAGCTGATTCCCCATGTAACATCTGCCATCAGCACGGAGCTAGACCCACACGGTATGTCTGCATCCCCCTCTGTGATCTCCAGACCAATCGTCCAGAAGACTGCTAGGGTATCTCTGGCTTCACCAAACAGAGGACCCCCTGGTGCCCATGGCCAGCAGGTGGCCATGCAGATGCCTGTGAGCACATCCCACCCTAACAAACAGATCAGTATCCCTTTGTCTGCCCTTCAGCTGCCTGGACAGGATGAGCATGTTGCTTCTGAAGAGTTCCTGTCCCATCTGCCCAGCCAGGTCTCCTCCTGTGAGGTAGCCCTTTCTCCCTCAGTTAACACAGAGCCAGAAGTGAGCTCCAGTCAGCAGCAGGCCCCAGTTGCTCCAACCATAACCACTGAGGCCACAGCACAGTGCATACCAGGTATGGCATGTGAGGCGACAGCAAGTCCCTCTTCCACGTGCATCACAGAATTCCGCGTCGTCAGCACTTCCCAAACCATTGGCTCAGTTTGCTAGAATTTAGTCTTTTGTTAGTCTCAGAAAGATAGAAACAATGAAATGTATTGCATCCAGGTGAGAGGGCTGAGAGGACAGCTGTTAGATTGTGCTGTTGCTATTGCATGGTTAGATTTAAGGTTGATATCTGACCGTCAACTCAATTGTTATACAGTAAAGTTATTTTGGAAAGTTTTTAAAAGATGCTTTTCTGTCAGTACCAAGGTATTTAGTTGCTTTTTGAAGCCAATATGATGTTGAGTAGGGTATATAATGACAATAGACCTGATGTTTTTCAATTATTTATTTGCCTGAGCCAACTTGGCATTGCTATTCATTTTAGTTGCTGTGGTAGTTTAAATAAGTTTTTTTTTAAAAAGCAATGAACATTTCTGAAAGAAGTATTTGATCTTTTCTCTTAAAATTTCAAAGAATCAGGTAACACGCAATTCTGGAATATGTGAGCCTAACTGTAATGAATTGAGAGGAGAGTGAAATAATTGTACGAGGTCCCTGTACCTGTAATTCTCACATTCTAATGTTCTTTAATTCTGACATTCATTCTGGGCTATTATTATATAAAGAGGATTTGGTCTCATGCTTTTGGGTTCATGATTCAAGTCTAATAGGCTAGAAGTAGAAACATCGACAAGGATGAACAGATAATGCAGAGAACATTGAAAGCAGAAATCTGTGACACATTTTGGTTTCTTTTAGTACTTCTCAAAAAAGTCATGTATTTTGGGAAAAGCTTCCTAGAAGCCTGAGGCACCTGTGCTTTTACCCTGAACCTTCCCAGAATTAAGTTGCTCTACAAACATGTTTTTCCAATTTTAGTGTCAACTTTAGGATCCCCAAAGGAAACCTTCCATTTATGATTTTTTAAATAATCATGATATGACTCATAAAATATACACAGAAAATATTTATATCATGAGTGGATATTCTGCTTTTCAGTTTATCCATTTTTCTTTCTTTTTAAGTTATAGCTTTATTGAGATATAATTCACTTATAAAATTTACTCTTTTAAAGTGTACAATTCATTGAGTTTTGGTATATTCACAGAGTTGTACAGCCATCGCCATTATCTAATTTTAGAACATTTTTATCACCTCAGAAAGAAACCTCATACTGATTAGCAGTCACTCTTCCTTTCCCCCCAGAGCCTGGCAACCACTGATCTTTCTGTCTCTATGGATTTGCCTATGCTGTACATTTCATATAATGGAATCATATATTACCTCCTTCTTCATTTAGCATGTTTTCAAGGTTAATCTATGTTGTAGCATTTCTTTCCTTTTCATTGCCAAGTAATATTTTATTGTATGAATATATCATATTTTTCCTTTTATCAGTTGATGGGCATTTGGATTTTTTCCATCTTTTGGCTATTATGAATAATGCTGCTGTGAACATTTATGACAGGTTTTTATGTGGGCATGTATTTTTGGGTAGCTTCCTAGTACTGGAATTGCTGGGTCCTACGGTAACTCTATGTTTAACTTTTTAAGGAGCTGCCAAACAGTTTTCCAAAGCAGCTCCACCGTTTTACATTCTCACTAGTAATGTATAAAGGTACCTTTTTCTCCACATCTTCACCAACACTGTTATTTTCCATGTTTAAAAAATTGTAGGTATCCTGTTGGGCGCATGAAGTAGTATCTTGTGCTTTTGATTTGCATTACCCTAATGACTGATGATATTGAGCTTTTTTCCATGTGCTTTTTGGCCATGTGTATATTTTCTTTTGAGAAATATCTATTCAAATACTTTGCTCATTTTTAAATTGGGTTGTCTTTTTATTAGTAAGTTGTAGAGGTCATTTATATATTCTGGATATAAGACCCTTATCAGGTGTAATTGGCAAATATTTTCTTCCATTTTATGGGTTGTCTTTTTTAAAAAATATTTTTTAAAAATTTACTTTAATCGGCCAGGCGCAGTGGCTCACGCCTGTAATCCTAGCACTCTGGGAGGCCGAGGCAGGCGGATTGCTCAAGATCAGGAGTTCAAAACCAGCCTGAGCAAGAGCGAGACCCCGTCTCTACTATAAATAGAAAGAAATTAATTGGCCAACTAATATATATAGAAAAAATTAGCCGGGCATGGTGGCGCATGCCTGTAGTCCCAGCTACTCGGGAGGCCGAGGCAGTAGGATTGCTTGAGCCCAGGAGTTGGAGGTTGCTGTGAGCTAGGCTGACACCACGGTACTCACTCTAGCCTGGGCAACAAAGCGAGGCTCTTTTGTCTCAAAAAAAAAATTTTATTTTAATCATTGAATAATGACATGGTCTTTGATTAATATTCACATCACTAGACAAAATGTTGTCTTCATTAGACTGGCAAAAGTCTTTATTCTGAGAAATCTAACTGTTGATATACATAGAATATACATAGTACCTTTTCACTTAATATTTGCACCTCCCCTTGCCTTTATTTATTTATATATGTCTTTATAAATAGACTTACCTTGAGTTTTCTATATTTTCATGTCATTATATTTGAAGCTAGAATTCAGAAATGTATTTTACAAAGTGGTCCAGTATACCAGTTTGAATAAGTTTGGTAAGATTATTATTTGTGTCGCTCACCCTTCCACTAACTTACTTGCAAAGCAAGGGGCAAGACTTTCTTGCATCTGCCTAGTGAATAGTAAATGAGACACTGAGGCTCTTTACTAAACCATATATATCTTACTATATAATTATCTGGGAAAAGAAATTCAGCCCATTTGAAAGAGAAATAATTTTAATTCACTTATTATTGTGTATATTACATTCTCTTAGATTTTTTTTCTTCCTTCATGGAAGTTGCATGTCTTTTTTTTTTTTTTTTTTGAGACAGAGTCTCACTCTGTTGCGCCGGCTAAAGTGCTGTGGCATCAGCCTAGCTCACAAGCAACCTTAAACTACTGGGCTCAAGTGATCCTACCGCCTCAGCCTTCCGAGTAATTGAGACTACAGGCATGTGCCACCATGCTTGGCTAATTTTTTCTATATATTTTTAGTTGTCCAGCTAACTTCTTTCTAATTTTTAGTAGAGACAGGGTGTCACTGTTGCTCAGGCTGGTCTTGAACTCCTGAGCTCAAATGATTCGCCCGCCTCACACTCCCAGAGTGCTAGGATTACAGGTGTGAGCTACCGTGCCTAGCCATCCATATCTTATAATAGCTGTAAAAAGCAGGCATGGCCAAGGATAGCACATAATATATACAATCATAAACTGTGATTTGGCTTTACTCTCAGAAGGACTGGTTTGGCTTGGAATTGAACCTTCAAAAAACACAATATGAAGAAGTGGTGATGGGGATTTCCTAAGGACTGGTCCTCATATTTTGATCCATTGTTCTGTGGAAGGATATCATATTGCTGAGATGTCATTAGCTTTATAGAAACACTGTTTGGACTAGAAACAGCAGTGGGATGAATAAAAATCTGATTGACGTTTTTCTTTTGTCAGAGGTGTATAGAGTTACTGTATAAGTTACCTACATTCTCTAGCGCCCAACTAGGTTCCGTGTTCTAAAGTTTTATTCATTTATTTGTGTTGCATATTTATTTATAGTAGATAATCATTTTAAACATAGATTTTTAAAAATTTAGACTCTAACATATCCAAATGTATATGAATGACTTTGTACAGATGGACCTTACATAGTTAATATGTAAAGCACACTTGAGACTAAGCAAAGAAGAAAGATTCTGAAAGAACTAGCTGAAAGCTAAATCAGGCTCTTTTGAAATGGATGCTATATAAGCTCGAGTCTTTATTAGATCATTACTGCATATCTTTAAATAATATTTTTTAAATAATAATTTGACAAATGACTATTGAGTCTACCAGAAACAAAGAAAAATTGTTCTATTTTTGTTTAGTTTTACTAAGGCCATTTAAATTCTATTCCTGTAGTGGAAAATCATCCTTATTTCTGTTCAGAACTGAACTCATAAAGTTATAAAATGTTAATCAAGGTGTAGATAAAATCATTAATTTTCATGTCAACCATGTCATAGTGCTCAATTCAAATCTTAGCAAACAACGAGTAAAGAGGACATATATTATTAGAAGAATTATTGACTACCTACCAGTAGCTTGGATTCCATTAATTTTTGAGATTTTTATGTAAATTTTTGGCATTTGTCATAATGAAATTTAAATCTTTATTGCATTGATTTGGGTTTTTATGTTTATATGTATATTTATTAAATATACTCACATACATAGTTTTCTTATGTTTTATGCAAGATTCCCTTTTATTAATCAACTCTTTTCCCAGAAGTTTTATGGTAGCAAGAAATATTTGTTTATCAGATTTGTAATATATATATATATATTTCTTTTGAAAATACACATTTTTACCTTTTCATAATAGATTCATGTGTTCTTTTTATATTAGAAATAATAACTCATAGTCTATGATGTATGTTGGAAATACATTTCCCACTTTACCATTAGCTTTTAATTTTGTTGGTGGCATTTTTTTGAGGTATGGAATTTCTTAATTTTTATGAAGACTGTTCTTTGTCATCTTTTCTGTCTTTGGTATTTTTTCAGGAAGTCCTTTCCCTACCTTGAGATCACACAAAATACCTGTATTTTGCTCTGGTTCTTTTATGGTTTTCTTTTCCTCTCCATTTCCCTCCCCTTTCTTTTTTTAACATTTAACTCTACAATTAGGTATATATTTTGGGGTGGAATCTCATGTCATTACTTTTGCAGGCAGTCACATGCCCCAGCATTATTTGTTGAATAATTCCCATTCCCCACTGAATTGATTCATATACCACATATACCACATTTTTGTTTATTATTGGATCTCCTTCTTGTTTTCAGTTCTGTTTTTATGAATCTCTTTATGTTTTCTGATAATTTTTACTGTTTGATTATATTTTATGCAAAACAGTGCATTCAGAGAGAAAGAGTA